GCCCCCGCGCGCCAGCAGGGCCCCCCACGCTCAAGGGCGCGCGCGGGCCCCGAAACGGAGGAGGTCGCGCGCGGCACCCGGGAGGGCAGACTTGAGCCTTGGTCCCCACTCCTTCGCCACTCAGCCCAGCCCCCTCCAACCCGCTCCAGGCCTCCGACTCCGCACTGACCTGACAGGCCGAGACATGTTCGCTGTCGAAACAGGACCGAGTCGAGAAGCCAAAGACCAGGACCCCCCCCTCCCCGCGCGCTCGGCGCCCCACCCCCCCCGAACTTCGGCGATGGGGCCGCTGTCGCCGAACCCCGAGCCGCTGCCTTCTCAAACTCCGCCACTCCTTGGTTCTGGGCCCCTGGATCAGAAGAGCCCCCCGCTCCCCGTCTCTTCAAAATGGATGAATCAAACCAGCCGAAAATGCGCCAAAGCTGCGGTACAATCTAACCCGCTAGCGTTTATGCGCTCCGCCCTTACACGCCCGGTCATTGGCGATGTGTGCCAGATGCGCCCTGCTCATTAGTCCGTTTGAATCATCACGTCTCTCAGGCCCCGCCCATCTCCCGGATAGGCTCCGCCTCCTCCTGGGGTCCTGTTAGTCAAGATGCTCTGAGAGCGCACGGCCGCAAAACAAAAATGGTCGCTGCTCAGCCCGCCCCCTGGCTTCCCCTCCGTAGTTGCAGATTCGTCTTGGGTCGTATCTTGGGACCACTAGAAAAAAAGACTTATATAGAGTTCGGCGTCGTTAAGTTTTTGTGTAATGGCGTTTCATTTCGTCCGTCTTGATCACCTAGAAAATTCACTAGTAGCAAAACCTGTGGGACAGGCAGCAGATTCGTCAGTGAGGGGCTGCTTCAGAATTGGAGGGAAATTCCTTTAGTTCAAAAAATTTGACCTTAAACCCACAAGCCCCTTTACCCTGGCTTCGGCATTTGCCGTCAGAGGCCAATCACGCTGCTGCAGTAGAAAGGGGCAGGATCATAAAGCAAGAAATACCTTCACCCCCAATTTCCAGTCTCCATTCTGGACCTTGAGATCCACTTCAGGGTTATTAAAGTCCAGGTCTCAGACAGTACTATTTCAAGGAAAACGTGGTACATAGTAATTAGAATTACTATGAATTAGAATTACGAGCCCTGGGATTTCAGTGTGTACATTTGAAACCCCAAGTCCACTAATTACTAATTATATACGGTCTCTCACTGAGCCTCAGTTTTCCCATCTGTAAAATGGGATACAATTACCTACCTCATAGGATTAAATGAGTTACTACATAAAAGGCTTTTAGGACAGTCTCTGGCACACAGTACACACAAGGTACGTGGGTTATGTTCAGTTTTTGAAAGATTACCTCATCCCTGGGTAGGAGTGGATGAAGCTGATTCAAGACTTTCAAATCAGACCTGGAGACAACTCAAATCATTCCATTTACATCTACCAACATTTGTTGGATGCCTGAAATTCTCAGACAGCGCTCGGGAACTGTACTGGACAGCTGTGGCCTACTACACCACTATAAACAGACTGCATCCCCTGCTAGAGGCGGGGCATTACCACCAACGGAGGTAACAGTCTCCCCACACCCACCACCCGCCTCCTGAAGCTCGCTTTGTAGAATCCGGCTCCCCTAAGGCAAGAGAATAGCATAGTCCACCAGTGAGGCGTTAAACCAGTTACTTCTCAGCCATGCCACCCTCCCATGCCACTTTTTAAAAAGTTACCATTCTAAGTACACAGTTCTTTGGCAGTAAGTACATTCGTGTGGCTTTGCAGTCATCAGCAGTGTGCATCTCTAGGACTTTTTCATCTTGTCCAGCTGAAGTCTGTACCCATTACGCAGTAACTCCCACGCCCCCTCCTCCAAACTCTCAGCCTCTAGCAAGCATTATTCCACTTCCTGCGTGTATGAATTTAACTACTCTTAATGTCTCATGTGCCGGGCGTGGTGGCGCACCCCTGTAATCCCAGCACTCGGGAGGCTGAGGCAAGAGAATCCATTGCGAGTTCGAGCCCAGCCTGGGCTACAAAGTGAGTTCAAGGCCAGCCTGAACTGCACACAAGACCCTGTCTCAAAAAGACAAAAAAAAAAAAAAAAAAAAAAAAAAAAAAAAAAAAAAAACAACCTCATGTAAGTGGAATCAGTCTTTGGCCTTTTGTGATTGGCTCATTTCACTTAGCATATCTTCTAGGTTCATCCATGTTGCAGTACGTGTCAAAATTTCCTTCCTCTTAAACCTAACTAAAAAAAATTATTTTTGAGATAGGGACTCCCAATGCGGTCCAGGCTGGCCTCAAAGTAGGGATCCTCCTGCTTCAGCCTCGAGTGCTGGACCTATAAGCATGCATCACCATGCCCCACAATAATTCATTATATCTACATACCATGTGTTTACTCATCCATCCGCGGGTACTTGGGTTGCTTCCACCCTATGGCTAGTGTGAACAGTGTGAGTATGCACATGACAGGTACACAGTAAAGATATCTGAGTCCTGCTTTCTCTTCTTTTGGGTATATTCTCAGAACTGGAACGGCTAGAATGTAAGACAACTGCTTAATTTTTTAAGGAATTGCCATATGGCTTTCCATAGGAGTGGTACCATTTTACATTCCCATTGGCAATGCGCAAGTGTTCCAATTCCTCCACATTCTTACCAGCATACTCTTTTTTTTTTTTTGATAATTGTCATCCTATCACGTTTAAATAGTTCTACCCTAAGGGTCTTATCATTCCTATTTATTGTCCAGAATGTCATTGACAAGGCGGAGGTGGTGCGGTGACCCCACAATGGCTTTGTTGGAGGCTGCTGCATCAGAACTAATTGCTATTATTTTAGCAAATTACTATTATTTAGTACTATGGGTTGAGGCAGAGGAATTCTTCATACTCACTTATGAAGTAATGGATGGAACCAGCTATAGTCAATGTGTGCAAGGAGGTGAAAAGTTCAGAGCAGGTCTCGCAGGCTTTGTCCTGATAGTGCAGTTCAAGGCCAGTGTACAGAATGCCCCTTTCCAAGGTAAGCATCACATCCCAGTATTTTTTTTTTTGTACTGAGAATCGAACTCAGGACCTTGCACTTGCCAGCCAGAACTTGTGCCACTGAGCTATATCCCTGGCCCTCCACTCAGTATTTCAACCAATGCTGTCTCTTAGGAAGAAAATAGCCTAAAACTTAAGCTTCTAGTTGACATTTTAGTGGAAAGTTGACAACTCTGTCTGCTGTAGCCAAGAGAACCTGGACTGACAGCTCCAAGGTCACTTCCCTCCGGCCACCCTAAACAACCTGCCCTGTGTGACTGTCCCAGTCACTGGGCTGGGAACCCAAGACACTGATCATGAGTCTGATCTTAGAAGCCCCACCTGACAATGCTGAAGGTACAAGATGTATGACACTGTGTATCATTCCTTACTACTGGGAGTGAAATCTAGAACCTGGTGCTGTGGCATTTGCCTGTACTGTTGTTCCAACTACTTGGAAGGCTGAGGCAGGAGGGTTTTTGAGCCTAAGAAATTGAGATCAGCTTGGGTAATAAAGTGAGACCCCCCCATACACACACACACACACAAATGTAATGGCCTTTTAAGCCTAATGCTTAATTTATCCTATGATTTTAGATACATTTTGAGAAATAAACTTTTATTTTTCTCATGTATATATTAAAGACCATAAGGGCTATGGATATAGCTCAGCACACACACACGCGCACACACACACACACACACACACACACACACACACACACACACGATAGTAAGAACTGGCACTGCTAGTATGGAAGGACTGATGCTACTTCCATATTCCTAAGGAGAACCTATTTCATTCAAAGGCTATGCTACAGCAGCTAGGAGTTTTAGGTTTTTTTTTTCCCCAGTACTGGGGATTGAATCCAGGGTTTTGCACCTTAGGCAAGTGCTCTACTACTGAGCTACATCCCCAGCCCTCATCTGTGAGCTTTATTTAAAAAAAAAAAGGTCAGCACCTACTCTGTGCTGAGCACTTTCAGTTCTGTGAATGTATGAAAGTCAGTCAACCAGGTATAAAGACAGACACTGGCCTCTGCTTCTGCTGACCATGGAAGCAGAGAAAGTATCACTCTCTAAGAGACCCTGATAGGGCCGGGCATGGTGGTGCACACCTGTGATCCCAGGACTCAGGAGGCTGAGGCAGGAGGATCATGCAAGTTTAAGTCCAGCCCGAACTACTTACATAGTAAGATCTTGTCTCAGAAAAACAAAAAGTAAACAGACAAAAATATCCAGATAGGGAGTTAAAGAAAGGTAATCCAAGATAGGCACGGTGATGCACACTTGTAATCCCAGTTACCCAGGAAGCTGATGGATTACAAATTTGAGGCCAGCCTGGGCAATACTTAGCAAGACCATGTATTAAAATAAAAAGGTCTAGGGATATAGGTTCATGGTAGAGCATCTCTGGGCTCAATCCCCAGTATTTAAAAAAAAAACCCTCCTGTTATTGTAAAATTTCTACCTCCAGCCTGCGGCCTTCTCTGCCCTGGCACTACTTCGGTTTTTTTGTTTGTTTTTGTCTTTTTGAGACAGGGTATCACTATGCAGTTCAGGCTGGCCTTGAATTCACTTATGTAGCTGAGGCTGGCCTCTAACTCACAACGACCCTCCTGCCTCAGCTTCCCAAGTGCTGGGATTACAGGCATGCACCACTATGCCTGGTGCTACTACTTTGGGAAATAGGATGGGGCAGAAGAACTTCCTGTCTTCACTGAGCCCCTGTGCAAGCTGGAGGCTCAGCAGTCTGTGTGGAGATGGTCCACGGTTTCGGGCAGTGCTGCCTGGTCCGCATTTTCCCCAATGTTTGTATCTTTGCTCCAGAATTTCCATCTTCCCATCTGCTTTGAAGAATGTTAAGAGAGAAGCTTAGGTGAATTTTTACTGCTAAAACAATAAAGATATGTAAGTCTGAGTTTATGTATTTCTTTTGTGATACTGTGCATTGAACCCAGGACCTTTGCACTGAACTATATTCCCAGACCTTTTTTATTTTGAGGCAGGGTCTCCTGAATTGTTAAGTTGCCCAGGCTGAGCTTGAATTTGTGTTCTTCCTGCCTCAGTCTCCCAGAGTGCTGGGGTTAGAGGTATATTCCACTGTGCCCAGCTTGACATTTATTTTATTGCCATTCCCCGCATCCCACACAATGAGAAAGCTGTTCTATTCTCATTCTTTTTCTTTTTTATTGACATTCATTTCTTTTTATTTTTATTCAGTGTTAAATTTTTCTTTTTTGAGACAGGGTCTCCTTATGCAGTTCAGGTTGGCCTTGAGCTCACTATGTAGTCCAGGCTGGCCTTGAACTCATGGCAATCTTCCTGCCTCAGCCTCCCGAGTATTGGAATTACAGGTGTGAGCCACCACACCTAGCTCTTTGCCTATTTCTATTTGTGGTTTTTATTTATTTATTTGTTTTGCTAT